AGGAATGCAGTGTATCCATCCTTTGCTCCCAGCCTGCTGACTGGATAGTGAGAGAGAAGCAGCAGACTGATGGGGTCATCTCACTGCTCTTCTGATTAGCATGTTCCTTGCCAGTAGTGATGACTCAACAGGACTGGATTATATTACTAAGCTGTTTTGAGAATCTTGCTTAAAGAGTAGGTCCAGTCAGAATAAAAAAAAAATAACAGTCAGCAGCTACAAAAACTGTAGGTGTTGACTTTTAAAAAACAGACACTCACCTGTCCCTCAATCCCACGGTGTCCTCACACCGGCCGGGTTGACTGACCATCCTGTCTCCTCGGCGCTGGTATCTTCAGTGCGGACTCCCGGCTATGACAGCTTGCGGCTTCACAGCCGGGTGCCCACTGTGTATGTGTGAGTAGTGCTGCGTTTTGTGAATGGTTCTGTAGTCTTCTGGGACCTGTCATGTGTCCCAGAACACTACTAGGAGGGAGGGGAGAGGACAACTTCCATTTCCGATCGCCTAGGCGATCACAGCAGAAGTGGGAGCTGGTACCCCTCCCTCCCCAAAGGTGTCAATCCTTAAAGGGGAGCGGAAGACAAAGAACTTCCTCTTTTGGGTGGAGCTCCACTTTAAACTTGCTTAAAACTCTGCAAACTCAAACTTTGTTTCAATTCCTAGTGATGTCTATGGGAGGTGACTTTTGCCATTAATTTCTGGCCATTTATAGAGCTTATAAGCAATATTATTGTCTCTCGTGATTCATCTGACTGGGGCAAAGGCAAAGTGTTGACTTTTAAAAAACAGACAGTCACCTGTCCCTCAATCCCATGGTGTCCTCACACCGGCCAGGTTGACTGACCATCCTGTCTCCTTGGCGTTGGTATCTTCAGTTTGCAAAGGCAAAGCCTAAGCAGTGCATCATGAATTTCTAGCACAAATTTGCAAACTTATCAAATAGTAGTTTATAATTGGGCCCAAATGTAAATTCTGGAGATCCTTCTCAAACACAAAGCTAAGGCTATTGCAAACATCCCTAGTCAGAACATATGCAACCAACACGGGGCATCTACAAACAATATAAACTGACACTCTATGGAAAACTAAAAAGTTTTTAGTTATACTTTAGGTTTATACTAACTCCTGCTTCATTGTGACCTGCAGTAACAGGTAGCCTCTGCAAATAATTTAATTCATAACAAGAGTGCATGTTTTGTGTTGTTTATCACAAATGCACATAGCTGTTGGGTTATGCTAATACAGATTCTTATGGAAAGTGTCTAAAAAAAAAAAAAGATGATAAGTCTTTTTGCTATGCATCTCTAGAATCCTTCAATCTTAACAAGAAACTCTCTTTCTATGTTTGTAGATGCACAACCCTAAAAGCACTGATGTGTTATTTTACTCTTACTTTAAACTGGCGCAATTGTTCAAGACTTGTAGCAACATTCTACTTTAGGTTCACGCAATGATTTGTAAAGCACTGCAAAAGAAGTTTCAGTATTACTGTATATGAGATAAGTAGCTTGCTGTGATTGGAGCTATTATTTGGAAGCTGATTGCACAAATTTGTCACCACAAAATAATTTCGGAAAGTAATCTATTCATTGTGGATGTGTTATACTGCAAAATTAAAGGAGAAGTTATATTCTGTAAAGACCAAGCAGTAGGCAACTACCAGATCAGTTATTCATATTAACAATAGTTCTGACCTTGTACTTAGTACACACAGATGTTAACCCAGAACAAACTGATATAAACCCTGGTTAAAATTAGTTAAGTAACTTTCTTTCTCGCATATTTTTTTTTTTATTACTTCAAGCCTGGTAAAGAAACAAGCTACAGTGAGTAAAGTAAGCCAATGAACTGTTTTTTTGTCATTGAAATGTGCCCTTTTCCATTCTTGCTGCCTCTGGCTAGGTCAGGTTTCCATAGAAATGTTAAGAAAAGCAGCTTAATTAGCTTGAGTACATTATTACACTTTGTGTTCCTGGCCCTGAGTCAGAGAGTGTGAAAGGCCAATCCTCTTAGGTCAGTGAGTGTTACCTACAGGATTAGTAAAACTCCCTGGAGTTCACCTCTCAAACTGTAAATGGCAAACAAGACTGAAGAATCTTAATTTGAAAGTCTCTATCTTTCTGATTCGGGTGGCTGCTGCGGTTCCTTGCATGCTTTCTGACTTAGTACTTCCTAATTGTTCTTATCAGTTTTTGCTTGGGTCTGATTTTTTTTTTTCCTTTTTGTAACTTTCCAGATAGGTTTGGCTTGCTCTGATTTCCCAGGTGAGTGTTCTTTGACTGTGCTCAGGTTAAAGGTCTTTTGTCTGATCTGTCCCCCCACCCCAACCCCTCATCAGAATATGATCTTGGTACCTTTTTCTGCTCGTGCTTGTGTGATTTTTTTTTTAAACATTTAAATGTGAACTGAGTCAGTCAGTATTTGCTGAAATGGGTTATTATCCATTTTTACTGAATGTGTCCAACATTAAAACAGCAGAAATTAACAAAATGCATTTTAGATTACATTAAATTAGAGTTTGTAATATATAAGAAACATTTTTTTGTGATCTCAGTATAAGGATATGAGAGTGAATTTTATTTTTTATGAAGAAATCTTTTTTTTTTTGTTACTACATTAAAACAACTGCTGAAATGGAATGTAAATGGTCTTGAGACCTCTTATTGAATGTAACAGCTTTTATGTGTCCTATTGTTTGTTTCTTGTGTATTTTTATGTCTAATTTTGATGTCAGCAATGTTGTGAAAGACTTTTAAGTTGTATATGCTAAGATGTGCATGGATTTGACAATCCAAGATTGATCGATTGTCTTTGAAAAGAGTTGTAACTTTCTGTTTCTTTTAGTTAAGGTAGATAGATAGATAGATAGATAGATAGATAGATTAGCTAGATAAGAAAGAAAGAAAGAAAGAAAGAAAGAGAAAGAAAGAAAGAAAAAGAATGAAAGCAATTATATAGTTAGCCAGTACCTTGACAGATGAGGAAAGAAAGAGACAGAGAGAAAGAAAGAAAGGGAAAGAGAGAGGGAAAGAGAGAGAGAAAGAGAGAGAGAGAAAGAAAGAAAGAGAGAGAAAGAAAGAAAGAAAGAAAGAAAGAAAAAAGAAAGAAAGAAAGAAAGAAAGAAAGAAAGAAAGAAAGAAAGAAAGAAAGAAAGAAAGAAAGAAAGAAAGAAAGAAAGAAAAAGAAAAAGAGCCTAAATGAAAGCAATTATATAGTTAGCCAGTACCTTGACAGATGAGGAAAGAGAGAGAGAGAGAGAGAGAGAGAGAGAGAGAGAGAGAGAGAGAGAAAGAAAGAAAGAAAGAAAGAAAGAAAGAAAGGGAAAGCCAGTACCTTGACAGATGAGGAAAGAGAGAAAGAAAGGAAGGAAGGAAGGAAGAAAGAAAGAAAAAGAAAGAAAGAAAGAAAGAAAGAAAGAAAAAGAAAGAAAAGAAAAAAAAAAGAAAGATACCGAATAGTAGATAGAATAGTAGATAGATTAGATAGATAGATAGATAGATAGATAGATACATTTTTGTCACAAAGCTTTTGCTATAGTTATAATATTTCTATAGCAGCAGCAGAGGGTTGTACTGTGTTAGCCATCGATAAAAGTAACAGTTTATGGTGGTACAATTTACTGAATAATTAAAAAGTCTGTTGTGCAAGCTTTCGAGACACACTGCCCTCTTCTTCAGGCTTTACTTATTGCCTGAAAAAGAGGCCATTGTGCTTTGAAAGCTTGCACTGCAATCTTTTTAGTTCTAGTCCAATAAATGGAATCACTCTAAATCCAAAGTTTTACTATACTAATTGTAATATAATTCTTCACATTACAGTTTGTTGGCTGTAACATGAAAACTGCACTTTACAACCAACAAGCATGATAGTGGCTACTTATTTAAGTTTAAAAGTTACAATTATTCAGCTTTGACAGGCAGCAAAATAGAGCAATGGGACAACATGACTTTTAGTAAAATAATTGATATTTCTCATAATAAAAGAGTTAGCAAGTATATGGGCACTTGAAAAGCATTAAAAATTTGTATCAATGATTTTAGTGTGGCAAATTGCAGTTAATCCCTGTATGATCATTTAGCCGATTGGTCATGCTGTTAAAACTTATACTGTCAGTGATGTGGACCTACTGAGCTTGGCAATGTTGTGGATATATTTGTGCTGTTCTAATAAATATTCTGCCCAGTTAATTCTAATATATGATTGAATAAGCTCCTTTGACTCTGCTCGTGATGTTTTAGACACCTTAAAAGTTATTTAACTAGGCAAAGAGTAAGCTGTTGTAAGTAGTGATGAGCAGAGCTGCCCTGAATTTGGCTCAGCATGGTTTGCCAAACTTCAAAGACGTTCAGAGGCCTGAACCCCATTGATATCAATGGGAGTTTAATCTGTCAGATTAAAAATGCCCATTTTCTGGGATGGATAAGGGGTGTCAAAATATATTATAGGGTTTGGAAACTACCCCGAAGAACATTTACCAATGCAAAAAAAACTTTTGAAAAAATTCCATGTGGCCAGGAGCAGGGATTATTTATATTTACAAAGGAAAAAAGTTTTAACTTGCTGGTAAATGACATCTCCCTCCTTGCTTCTTTTTTTACATAGAAGACCACTAAAGGTCTATTATATATTGTGGGGGAACTTTGGTGAGGTCTGTGTGCTGTTTTTTTTTTCTTTTTCAAGAGAAGCCAGAAATTAAGGTTTTCTTTAAGGCAATTTAAAGTTTAATTTTTTTTTCTTGTAGCACATCCTAGAGCAATAATTAAAAAAAAATGCATAATGGCAGACACTGGTATGGATTTTAACCACCTCCTGCCCGCCATATAAGGAAATGATGGGCGTAAGGCGATTCTCTCATTCTGGGAGGACATCATATGACATCCTCCCACTCTAACCGCACGTGCGTGGCTCCAGGGGCGCGCAGAGCGGTGATTGGTGGTGCTCTGTGTCCCTCGGACACAGCAGATCACCGATCAACGCAAAGAGCCGAAGACGTTAGTTCTGTCATGTGATCAGCTGTATTCAATCACAGCTGATCGTATGTAAATAAGGATATGCCGTTAACTGCATTTCTCTGCTTACGAGCTGTCACGCTGACAACTCGTGAGGAGAGGAGAGCCGGTAATCAGCATTCCTCAGAGGGAACATCTACACTGATCAGGGCACTGATCAGGCCCTGATGATCAGTGTAGCTCCAGCAGTGCCAACTGTCAGTGTCCATCAATGCCAGCTGTCAGTGCTCATCAATGCCATCTGCCAGTGCCCATCAGTGCCACATCAATGCCACATATCAGTGCCTACCAGTGCACATCAATGCCACATATCAGTGCCCATCTGAGCTGCCTTTCAATGCCACCTATCAGTGCCAGACAGTGCCACCTATCAATGCCAGTCAGTGACGCTTATCAGTGCCAGTCAGTGCCGCCTATCAGTGCCCGTCAGTGCTGCCTATCAATGCCGCCTAACAATGCCAGTCAGTGTCACCTAACAGTGCCAGTCAGTGCCACCTATCAGTGCCAGTCAGTGCCACCTATCAGTGCCACCTATCAGTGCCATATATGAGTGCTGCCTTTCAGTGCCCATCAGTGATGCCTGTCAAATCCCATCAGTGCCACCTACCAGTGCCTTTTCATCAGTGCCCATCAATGCAGCCTCATTTGCGCACATCAGTGAAGGAGAAAAATCACTTATTTACAAAATTTAATAACAAAAACTAAGAAAAAACTTTTTTTTTTTTAATTTTAATGGTTTTTGTTTTTTTTTTAGCAAAAGATAAAAAACCCAGAGATGATTAAATACCACCAAAAGAAAGCTCTATATGTCTAAAAAAAATGATAAAAGTTTCATATGAGTACAATGTTGCATGACCGCGCAATTGTCATTCAAATGCTGACAGCACTGAAAGCTGAAAATTGGCCTGGGCAGGAAGGGGGTATAAGTGCCCTGTAGGCAAGTGGTAAAGGCGATACCTCATACAAATAAAATAAAAAAAGTGTGAGATCTCGCACATTTGAAGGACTTTTGTAAACAAACAAAACATATATGAGATTCCCCTAAAAGTCCATATCCTTTAATTTGACCCTTAATTTGAGAATGCAGCCTGGCTGGCCAGGAAAGGGAGGGATGACCTTGTAACCCCCGAACCATACTAGGCCACATGCCCTGAACATGGGGGTTCCCCTGACAAGAGCCTCATCCCAACAACACTTGGTTGGCCATCGTGGTGGTCTGCAGGCTGGGAGCTTATCAGAATTTGGATGCCCCCTTGCCCCCAGATACCACCCCCTCACGTGAATGAGTATGGGGTAGTGGTACCCCAACTCGTTCACAAAAAAATGTAACCTAAAAATAAAGACACCCAAACAAAATGTCTCTTGTAAATCCATCATCAATTTGGATGCCTGCTGCCACCAACTCACTGAAAGAAAAAAAACATATAAACTGCCACACACAACTGCAACTGATTCCCAACTGTAGCACTAGCTGCCCCAACTGTTATCAGGTATATAAAAAAGGATTGGGGACAGAGGTGAAATCATTGCCCAAATATGGCTGTGGTCATATTTGGGCAATGATGTAAGGCTTCATTTCCCACCCATTTGTATATGTGTAATTGAATGGACTGGGTAATGTCAGTGGTTGGTAAGGACACAGTGGCTGACACTGCTTCATTAGCAACCAATCACAAACTAAAGCTGTCACATTCATCCATGCCGAATGTTCATCACTAATATTAACCAGTAATTCACACTCTGTAAGACAGTAGGAAACTTGGCTGATGCAGCAAACGTTTGATCTACTAGCTCTGAGATTTTTTGTTTATAGGCAGGTGTAGTTTATCCTCCATTCTCTAGGTGGCGTTGTCTGCTGTGCCACTGTGCAGATGAAGTGGAGACTGGGAGGAACATTGTTTCTCTTCAGACTTTGTAGGTGTCACCAGGGGAGCAGTAGTCCAATTGGGCACTGCAACACTGAGTGACCATTGGGGGCTATCTTTAGGCAGTGGCCATCTTTAGGCAGATGGCAGTGGTCATCTTTGGGAAATGATAACCACTTCAATACTGAACACTTTCACCCCCTTCCTGCCCAGGCCAATTTCCAGCTTTCAGTGCTCTCACACTTCGAATGGCAATTACTGAATCATGCAACACTGTACCTAAATAAAATTTATATAATTTGTTTAGACCGATAGAGCTTTTTTTGCTGGTATTTAATCACCACTGTTTTTCTTATTTTTTTGCTTTATAAGTGAAAAAAAACTGTAGCAGTACCCTCGTGAGGGCCGCTTGTATTTTTGCCCAGGTTTCCCTTTCTTCACCCATCAGGCAGGCACAAGGTATTTGACACAGCAGGTGCACTTACACTTTCGCTCATTGTCTTCAATGACCAGTCTAGGGGATGTTTGTTTTTGGAGTTTTATTGTAGAACTGGGTATAGGGATGTGGAGTTAAGTAGGATGCTCCAAAATCAGAACTATTCACACTGAGGACATCTAGCTGATCTCTTAGCTGAGTTCTGTTGAAGTCTTGGCTGAAGCAGACTTCCCTTTAAATTATAGCAGTAAGTAATATAGGAGTGAGCAAAATCCTTTTTTGCAGTAGTAGTAATTACAGGGCTGAGCTCCTCAGGTATAAGCCAGTCATGATCAACTGTGGCAACCCGAAGATAACTTAGCTGAGAAAAGTCCTTTGCAGTAGCAACAGTTGGACAAGCTCTTCATCTTTCCAGATCCACACTGACTATCAAGCACCAGGGGAGGTAGCAAGCACACAGAGTCCCCAAATTCCTCAATATCTGTACTCATAAGGCTGAAAGACAGAATGGTTGCCTCCTTCCAATCTTCCAAACGAAACCCTCCACTGATACCAGACAGAACTTTGACAGAAAGCTTCCCTCCAGTCAGCCTAATGTAGAACCAGGGTCACTCTCTCTAGTTCCCTCAGTTCGCCCCACCTGAGGCCGCATAGCAGCCAGTGCCAGGCAAGGAAAGCCTACCTCCAGCCTGGATTATTCAATCCTCTCCTGGGAAAAGACACCAAAATCATGTGCTCACGAAACATAAATACCCCTCCCAGCATGCAATGGGACTGCCTTCACCTGCAATTTGCCGGGGCTGTATCCATATACATACTGCTCATTTGCCTAGTTCCCTCCCAGGTTCTAGAAGGCTTCACTGTAAGTTGCACGATTTCAAAGTTGGGATGTCATTGCGATTTGAGGTGCGATTTGCAAGACATCTGACACAGATGTCTATGCAAATCGCACCAAAAGTAGTGCATGCACTACTTTAGAAATCGGTGCAGCTTCGAACAAGTCGGAACTGCACTGATATGACCACTGTAATTGCAGACAATAGGATGCGACTTGGCATGCGATTTGCAAGTCGCACGGCATGCAAGTCGCATGCCAAGTCACAACCAATGTGACTCGTGACTAAAAATAATTTATCAGTTAGTCTCTGTGAAACTATGGGATAAATATTTGAAAATTGATCAATCCTGATGTACTGACTGTCTATCTCCCCCCCCAAATGACCCCTTTTTTTTGGAAAGTAGGCAGTTCAAATATTTAGTAAGAGGCATGGTGATTTTTTGAAGTTGTAATTTTTTTTTCACAAAGTTGTATGTCGCACACAGCATAGACATGCTTAATTACAATCAAAAACACATTCTGCTATGTGTCCTGAGTATAGGGATACCACTTGTGAGACTTTTTCACAGCCTAGATGCATAGAGTGGCCCAAAATCCAATGAGCACCGTGGAGCATTCAAGGAACATTACACATCTAAATTCTATGCTACTTAACACATTTTTGGACGCCCTGGAGCATTTGGACAGTAGAAACACCTACAAAATGACCACATTTTTTAAAGCAAACACTCCAAGGTATTTTTTAAAAGGCATAGTGAGTCTTTTGAAAATTTTTTTTTTGTCTAAAGGTTTTTGAAAATTCAGGAATGACAATGTATTTTTTACACAAAGTTCACAAATATTAAGATATTTCTAACACACATCACAGGCATACTTAGAATTATACCCAAAAACATATTTTGCTACTCCTCCCATGTATGGTGATACGACATGTGTAAGACTTTTTCATAGCCTAGCCACACAGAGAGGCCCAAAATCCAAGAATCACCTTCCGGGGTACTAGATGGATAGTGTATGCATCTAATTTCCTGACTACCTGTTACATTTTTGGAGGTCCTGGAGCACCAGGACAGCAGAAACACTTTCAAAATGACCACATTTTGGAAAGCAAACACCCCAAGTTATTTTTTAAAAGGTATGGTGAGTCTTTTGAAGACTTAATTTTTTGCCACACATTTTTGGAAATAGCAGAAAGAAAATGAAAATTTATTTTTTACACAGAGTTGTCAGTTTAATAAGATATTTCTCACATACAGCATGGGCATACTTATAATTACACCTCAAAATACATTCTGCTGGTTTACACTGGTGTGGTGGCACTGCGATTGGTGTGGTGGTGATTAGGCACACTGTAACCAGGGGCGGACTGACAACTCATGGGGCCCCTGGGCAATAGGGGATCATGGGGCCCGTGTCCTTGCCCAAACTCAAAAAAAGCCTATGAAAAAGGTACCAGGGGCATCTCATGAGGCCCCCTACTGACCCAGGGCTCTCGGGCAGTGCCTGAGTTTCCAAATGGTCAGTCCGCCCCTGACTTTAACTGATGATGCGGTGATCGGGAACAATATGACTGGTGTGGCGGTGATCAGGGACACTGTAACTGATGCTGCAGTGATTAGGAAGAATATGACTGATGTGGCGGTGATCAGGGACACTGTAACTTGTATATCAGTGATGAGGGACAATATGACTGGTAAGCAGCGATCAGGGACACTGGGATTGGTGTGACAGTGATCAGGGACACTGTAACTGGTGTGGCAGTGATCAGGGTCGTTGTGAGTGGTGTGGCAGTAGTTAGGGATAGTGTGAGTGGGTGGAAGTTATTGGGGACACTGACTAGTGCAGCGGCAAGTAGGGACACTGACTGGCAACACTGGTCTGGTGACATTGTACTGTGGTGGCTTTGTTCGGAGATAATGGTATACAGTGATATCAGAGCAGCCAGCCATTGTACATTATCACTGCCACCACAGCATGACATCACCATAGTGACACTGCACTTGTTCTGGTTGCAGTATGTTAAAAAAATATATATATTTGCAACCCATCAATACAATACCTGTTCAAACTTTTTCTCTGGACTTTTCTTCAACTTTCAACTTTCTTCAACCTTCTGGCCCCATCCACATGCTAGGGGCTGGTATACCTCCATTGGTGCATCTGGCATACTCAGAAGAAGCTTCTACTTGTTAATATAAATTCACTATAGCAAACTTATATTAAACAATACAAATAATATAGTAAATTAAACAGATCAC